AGCAACGGAGATGGATTTCTGGAGAAGGTCGGCAGGAATTTCTAGGAGAGATCGGGTCCGTAATGATAGAGTGCGTCAGATAATGGAAGTCGAAAATGACATCGTGTTCGACGTCATGACCAAACAACTTGTTTGGTATGGTCATGTCAATAGGATGACGGAAGAGAGGCTGCCAAAAAAGATGCTTGATTGGGTTCCTCCTGGGAGGAGGCGTAGGGGACGCCCAGTGAGAGGTTGGCGACAGGGGGTGTTAAGTGAGATGAGGGAGTGTCAACTCCCTGATAACCTGTGGGAAGACCGAGCTTTGTGGCGATTAGGTGTCGCAAAGCGCCAAAGAGCGCAATAACAGCGACTCGTATGTATACAGAAAATTCGGATTTAGAAAAAAAAAAATTATAAACGAGAAAAGGCGACAAAATCTCTAATTTTCTGAGAGTATAGTAATTTCTACTTTTGTCGTCTTTCAGTGATATAAGAGGCAGCACATTTCATTAGTCAAGTTAAGAGAGAGACCAAACACGCAATTCGGCCTCGCGACTTACCTAGAGAGAAATGATGACGAGGACTTGTGATGAAAAGGCGAAGCCCTCGGCGCGGCGATCGGCATGTAACACATATTAGCGCCTACAAGACTGCACGAATACTTCACGCATTGCATAAAACACGGTGCGGTCATCGCGGACGGCGTGAAACGGATAGCGCCTACAAGAATGCATGAATACCTCACGCATTGCGGCAAACACAGTGCGATCAGCGTGAGACGCATAGTGCCTACAAGACTGCGTGAATACTTCACGCATTGCGTCAAACACAGTGCGGTCTGCGAGGTGCGGCGGCGGAAGTTAAAATCATTAATCCACATTTATGTTTGTTCTTTCATAATTTTTTCGTTCCTTTCTTATGAGTGGAAGGCTTTGTCCACACAGAGATAGGTTTACGAAACTTAACTTTCGCGCAAAGTTCCGTGAACTTTTGCTAGTAGTGTTGACAGGGCTTTCCCAAAAATGTGTTCAACGCCAGTAAAAGCGTCTTATGCCCCCTCCCCCTCCCCCGCTGGCACGTTCATTTGTTGGTTTTCATTGATGTTTCAAAACGAATGAGAAGGGGGCGGCAAAATACTAGCGGCCCATGGGCGGCAAGTAGGTAAATCCGGCCCTGCTCGGTATGGCGCTGAGATATAATATCCTGTAATATATGAATTTAGGGGCTTGGAGGACAAGGCGCATTATTTTTGATATTTCGAGAAATGAGAGTTTGAGGTTTCGTGATTCAATGTATCCTTATGGCGGAGAGAAAGTTCAAACTGACTTTTTGATACTTAAAAGTTGTACTTTGGAGCGAATTTTTCACAGACTATGCATTTAGACTAGTTTGACTTAAAATCATTAATCTTAATATCTTAAAAAAACTCCACTCATGCGCCTTGTCCTCCAAGCCCCTCAGTTCCATATCTCGATGGTGAAACTATCAGACTACGCGTATCACATTTTGCGATTTTGCAGTCTTCCTGTAATGCTTTATTTTTTAAATGGTAAACTACTCAAGGTCAATTCTTGATAACCTCCGTGATTTTTCTTTTCTGTGCTATTGATTTGGTAAAAAAAATAAATAAATAAATAAATCAATGGAGCGGAGATTTTTAACTACCACAAATGAGATACGTCGTCTGGTAGTTTCACAGTCGATGTATTTGTGAAAATGGCGCGAAAAAATTGCTTCTCGTCCTCTTGCCTTGAGTAGATAAAGATATATATTATATATGTGTTTATAAACTGTTAAAAAATAGCTGGCAATTCTGTGTGACAACTTCCTTTCAGAGGGATGTACTTGCACAAGTTCATGAACAAAATTTTACAAGAAGCTAAAGTCCACCTACTTCTTCTTGTTTGAAACTCCTCTGCTGTGGTTGATATTTTTCCAGTATGTAGCGTAACCATAAACTTTAGGAATATCCTCTTGAGTGAGAATTAATTGGGGAAGAATGGTTAGGTTCATATATTCACCTGCCTTAGTCTGTATCGGAGAATTTTCTTTCGAGATTTTTTTTTTTTTTTTTTTTTTTTTTTTTTTTTTTTTTTTTTTTTTTTTTTTTTTTTTTTTTTGCGAATTTTGAGCGTTATTTTTAATTTCCGACTCTTTTAAATGGATTTTTCGAAAAATCGATAAAATCGGATTCTCGAAGAAACATTTTTTGATAAAATCCCCAACACTACTAGGGAGGGAACACTGGAAAAAAACACATTGTATCTAGAGTCCAGACTCTTGAAAACATTGACAAGAAAACATACTCTTGATTCAATTGGATTTAAGCTTAAATCAAAACAAAATCCGCTTAAATTAATTGGCTTGCTTCTTAATTTAAGCTAGATTCTGATTGAATCAAGAGCACTTTTTCTTGTTGATGTTTTTAAGAGTCTGGACTCCATATCCAATGTGTTTTTTTTTTGTTTTTTGTTTTTTTTTTTAGTGAATCGCGCGGACAACTTGCGGCGTCGCGAGCCGCCTGTGGAAGCGTGGCTCCAACTTCCCCTCACTCGCAGCCCTTACGGGTCCACCCGTGTACCCCAGTTTTGAATTACCATTCCCGGTGGCACGAGCGCAACCACATCGCACCCCCCCCCTTCGCAGACCCCGGCCCCTTCCCCTTTCAAGTTCCCGTTCCCATTCAGGCGACGAACGTATCGTGGCCGAGAACGCGCCAAATTCGAAACACATTTCTGCTTGATGAGCGTGCTCGGTCCGGCTGCGCTGTATCAACCCAGCTGAAATAGGTCAATTCGGCTGTTGCAATAAATTAGTCTGTTGCAAACTTTTGCTGGAATAGCTGGATCGCATTTAGCCTAGAGTCTCTTTATACCGAGAGTTAAGACAATGTGAATCCATTTCTGATTGGTTCCCGTATTTTAGGCCTCCACAGTGTCACGAACGGGAATAAAGATTTCATTTTCACCAATTGTAAAGATTATAATCTGGAATGGACCGGAGAATTACGGGTTCGGCAAGGGACAAACGAAATGAGAGAAGGAACGGAGAGGAATTTGAGAATGGGCCGATCGAAGATTAGAAAAAACTTTTAATTTGTGTAATCTTTATTCCCGTTTGTGACTCCATGAGGAGGGGGATTGTCTTAACTCTCAGTATAAATGGACTCTAATTTAGCCGAAAGGAACCAGCGCGATTAAAGCGTTGTCAAAATTGTACGACTTCTCTTTTTCTTCTTAATAAACCTAAGATATGCACACTTATAAAATTTACACAATTATTTTGGTTTCAAATTACCAATTTTTGGTGGGAAGCCAAAGTTATTTGCTATGCTGGGAGGTTTGTTTGATAATTATGAAGAAGCAGCATTTTTACAACACTGTAATTGCGCTGGTTCCTTTTTGCTAAACGCGATCCAGTTATTCCTTGCATGGAGGTGCAATCTGTTAGTGATAGATTTGATTTTGCTTTGATTTTTTTATTTTCTCGTTTCGATAGATTTTGCGAGCAATCTTGCTTGAGAATTTACTCATATCGATGGCTAAAGTGCGAAACCACGTATCTTTATTGCGGTTTATCAAAATCTCTGGCTCCTATTTTATTTTTTTGGAGAGAAACAAGTCAATTATATAGCTTGAAATTCCAACGGAATATTTTGCTTGCGCAGAGAAGAAACATCAAGGATGTTTTTAAGGAATTGAGTTGACCTTTTTTTTCCGAGAAAAAATACAGTATGAACGGAAATCCGCAACGTTGCATTCGGAGATAAGTGGTATTGCACTATAATAATCGAAAAATCGCCTGTGAAGTAAATTCTGCTTAGTATTGGGAACTATAAAACGTCCTAGGTCCTCGAGGATGAGGACGCTGGTTAAGAGGTCAGGGCGAGACCAGAGGTCGCATAGGCAACTATTCACGCTCTGCGGTAAGTTTGTAGTATCAAACTAAATTGAAGGCGGTTTATCAGAGTCCATATATTCTTTGCGCAACTGGGAGACCAGGTACCTTCTTATCGACCGACTATATACTCTGAAGCAGGCATTTGTTTGAAAGTGTGATTTATTGACTGATGCTGAGTTTTATTTTGATTTTTTCCCCCCAAGTTACCATATCCTTCGCTGATTGTTCGACTACAGAACATTTTCAAATCATTAAAAACCATCAACTCTGATCAGTTTTTTCCTTCCTTATCAGTTTTTTTCGCTATTCGCACTTTTTTCCGCAATTGGGTCATTTTTGCACTGAGCAATTCAATTATATTAAATATCAGGAATGAAAAAACGTTGTTAGTTTGAAGGGCTGAAGACGCTAGTTAAAAGGCCACCGTGGGAACATAAATAAAACAAGTGACTATTCGCGCTCTGAGGTAAATTTAAGGTAAGTATCTAACAAAATTGAAGACGATTTATTATAGTCTATGGATCCTCGGAGATCAAGTATTTTCTTTTCGGCCGACTGTGAATTGGATTATATTTTGTAATATGAAACACAATTCCAATATGGACATTTAAAATATTTAGCAGAAATTTGCTTTACATGCGATACGAGAAAATTCTCTCGCAAGATTATAAGGCCGTTCTCTCGTTAAAGGACAAGACGACATCAGTATTCATAAAGGCAACTATTCGAACTCTGCGGTAAGTTTGTAGTATCAAGCGAAATTGAAGGAGGTTTATCTGAGTTCATGTACTTACGTACTGTATGAAACTCGAACAGCATTCATCTCTACTTTGTTTTTCAAAACATAACCCGGCATTTTTCCGATAGGTTCATAATAGGGCAACTTGAATATGACTGAATGAGTTAAATTTTAAATTTGCATCCAAATAATTTGCAGATACTAGCTCAGCAGCCCTCACGAATATTTTAATTTCATTAAAAACTATCGGTGTTGAACGGTTTTACAGTATGAGAATGGGGTCACGAAAGGATTTCTGATTTTAACTCATTGCCATACCTTAAGTCTTTCATGGAGCTGGTAGAAACTAAAATATTGCACTGTATTACACTGTACTCACATGATCTTGTTCTGTGGTGCGCCAATGTGTCTCAGGTTCTATTAAAATGGTTTAGCGACGAAACGAAATGTACCACGAGAGAGGGCCGGATAGTAGCACGATTTTAGTGAAGCTGTTTTTCGACGCAATGACATGCTCTGCGTGTCGGTTTCCAGTCGTATTTTTGGAACGATGCACTCATCAAAACAATTCCCACGCACTAGATGATAAGAACTTACATTTACCGAATGAAAACTTTTGGAAAGGAGACAGCAAATAATAAAAAATTCACCTGAATTTCTTATTATGATTTGAATAATCTGTACGAACTGCTCAAAAAGACCATTGTTTGTTATGTTGCGGCTCTCCAAAAATGTAGATGATAAAACCAGTCAGCTGATGAGCTTTGCTTTTTCATCTTTTTGTCGTTTGATAAATACAACGAAGAGAAGATTTATTGCTTGAGTAAATAATGTAACAACGAGTGAGCTATGGAGTTTTTGAGTGCAATTGTCCTCAAAAATAAGTTTAAAAAACAAATCCAATCGAACAGCAATAGTATATTGATTATATCAAGGGAGTATAACCTTTCGGGAGAAAATAAGAATTTTAACTCTTTTATTTTACGTTGCCAAACTTAAAATAAAAAGATAAAGAGCCATATAATTGAAAAATAGCTTGTTTCGGAAACCGTGCTGAAAACAGTGCAGCGAGGCGGGAAGCAAGTCGCCTCTGGTAGGAAATATTATTATTTTCTTTTTTTGCCGGTAATGTACCGTGCACCGTTTTTTTTTTTCGGTGGTGCTTTTTACATAATTTTTCAGTAGGATAACTCGGAAAAAGGGACAATTTATCTATCGAATAACCACCATAAAACCAGTCCAAACCAGTCTAAGTCAGTTCAAATAACTGGTCCCCTGTTTTCCCAAATCGATGAAAATAAATTTACGCTCCTCTTGCCATTTTTACAGATTCATGAACGGATCTATAAATATTAATTTATACGTGTGAACGAAGCATTGCAGGCGGAAACGTCATAAAAGTACGACTTAAGAGGACGAAAATGAATCGAACTCCTCCCTTTGATGTAAGACACTCATCGAACGCTACCGTCAAGCGCAGGCCGCAGATCCCCCCCCCCCCCCCCCCNTTTTCCCTTTTGAAAGAAAGCCGCGGAAATTTTCAGGGGAGGGAAGGAAAAAAGAAAGGGAGCAAATGAAGAGAGTGGAGAGTGAAGCTTGAGCGGCGTTCTTACGACAGGGAGGACGGGTCAAAATGGGGATGAAGTTGCCGGATAATGCGGCAAAAAACCACCCATTCTCGCTGAAAAAAGCTCTGGCTCTGAACGCCGTGATAATCATGGGCTATAAAGACGTGTCGGCCGTTCCAGGTTTAGAGGCCAGGTTCTGGTTGGAGAAGCGGCGAAGAAATTGACGTGGAGATTATATTTTACTCGTCTTTTTCTTAGAATTCAAAACTTTAATGAAAACAAATTGGAGACTTATCGAACTCGAGGGATAAATTAAACGTCACGATAACTTCAATTTTCCTTAACTTTGAACCATAGAGAAAAAAAAAGGAGGTGTTTGCATTTCAGGCATCTTGGAATTTTCTTGATGACGTAGGTCGGTACGGCGATTTTTATCATCGATTTTCAAATGGTGTAGTTTTTGGGAAAAATTCAGACTACATGAGGTGTTTGAAATTATATCATAAGTTGATTTAAGCAAAAAAAATCGGACGTTATGACGTTATGGACCAAATGGACGTTATGTTCGGTCCGTTTTTCATATTTCGGATTCCGGATTTTGCTGACCAGGTTGCACCGACCTATGTCACAGGGAACACAATCCTCAAGATGCAAACATCTCCTTTTTATTCTCCATGACTTTGAACATCGAAATAAAAGTGGAGTTGATTTAACATTCTTGGTGTACAAAAGTGTGCATGAACTTACAAAATGTTGAATTACCCGCCACAGCAGTTAGTTTTACATCATGGCATTGCTAAAATAACTGCCGTAGCGGGTAATCCAGCATTTGATAAGTTCTCGCACACTTTTTTACATCCAGAATGTTGAATAAACTCCAATTCAGAGGGATTCTCAGGGAGCTCTTCAAAAAGACTCTAACCCCCTCCCCTACCGGCTCAAATACTACTAGAACGACCCCTAAAAGCTGTAAAAATTACAGTTTGTAACGCACGCTTTGGCACAAGCGAGAGAGAGGAGGATGCCAGGCTCCCTGAGCCGCCCGCCTGGTTTCCGCTGGAGCGTCGCACAGTGCGGCATCCTTATGGACAAAGTGGACAAAAATCGGCACAAGACACTTAACTTTAAATAATGAAGATAGTAGCACCGATGTAGGAAAACCCTTTGGCCCTATCAAAGTAAAACACTCGAAGAGTAAGGAAATGTTTTATCTCAGGATATTTTGCGCATTTTTCGAGAAAAAGTCATTTGAAGTTGGCAACCTCGAATCTGCCCTATGTTAACAATGTAAAAGCAACGTTAAACGCCCAAATTTTAACTTCAAATATCTCTGATGGTGCAAAAATTCGCAAGATCTTTTTGGTAGAATTGAAGTTGAATATCTGAGGATTAAGAAAATGTCAACCACCCGGAGCATTTTGCGTTTCAAGCGAGAAATCTTCATTCGAAGTTGACGTCTTTTTCCCGTATATTTCTTATGGACCAGTGATTCTCGACCCATTTCCCGCCCATTTTCTACCCAAATTTGAACCAATGGAGAATTTTTATGCACATTTTGTATTGCTTCATCTGAAAGTGCTTAAAGAGCTGATTTCGCAGTGTTTTTTATACTTTTTTTCTGATATGGGAAATAGTATAAAAACAGATTTAAAAGTGAAAGATGCGCCGCCTAGTGACGTCATTTGGCGGCATTTCCCATTTAAACCCATGTATTTTAACAGATTAGGTCATTTTCTCATATCTTCTCCAATAATTGTTCCATTCATGAACCAAGGGTATCCTCGTGTTCAGTTCGCTCAGTAGTTTCCACTTAAACACGAAATTCATCAAATTTCAGACACCTGCAAATTCTCTATAGATCGTTTTCGATACATCAAAAAAGTGAGATTGTATCGATATCGATTGGTTCAACATGTAAACATAGCCTCAAAAGTCAATCGAGTAATCTGAGGAAACGGGGGTTTTCTGATAGATTTTTGATTCTTAAGAGTACTAAATGGCATCGTAAGGTGAAATGGTTAGGAATTTTCTAATTTTCAGCTTTTCCGACTGAAATCCTGAAAGTTTTGTTTGAGGTTATGTTCTATTGTTTTGAACCAAACGATACATCGAACCGCTATCGAAAAAGATCTATTTCGAGCGAAAAATTTCAAAATGGACCATCATTGTGAGTCAAAAATATCTGTAAGATGACAACCTCCAAAAAAAATATTCAGATGTTCAGTTGTGAATTTTTCATTTTTGTCCATTTCTGGCCGCATTGTGCGTCGCGGCGTCCGTACAGGGGCGCCTCGCCGGGGTGGGAGTGGGGGCGGGGACGCAAGTGGGGAGGGGCGCCTTGCTTCGCGCCCCGCGGCGCGGTCCTGGTCCTGCCTCTGGTGAGCTGGTGACCTATATTCCTTCCAGGTACGCGCTCGCCACGCCGCGTGCGGTAATTACACTCCTCCAAATGTTCCTATTCCCATTCCTTTCCCACCGCTCCTTCCCCCTCTCAACGTGACCTCTGACCTATGTTGCCGTACTAAGATATCTAAGGACAGGTGATGGGGTTGGGGGAGCGGTGATTGGTTCCGTGTGCTTGATGTGGGCTTCATTCAGAGGGAAAGGTGAAGTTTTCGATTACGGAAATGTTGGGTTTGGTAGTTGGAGTGCCTTTAAGGGTATATGGCTACTAAAAACTAGCAAAATAAGAAAAAAAAGGACCTCCCCCTTCTTTTGGCAGCTAATGAGCTGCAGATTAACAACTTGTATCATTTTTCAGAAATGTTCCGATAGATAACTTCGATCAGCGGACCCAAGAGAATAATTGTTTTTCAAGCGGGTTTACCGTGGTCATCGAAGGGGATGAATCCGAAAAAATTGATTTTGCAATTTGGTCCCAATCATCCAATTAATTTTTTAAAAAAATGCTCAGAATGATCTCTAGGCAATCAAGGATGCGTCTTGTTTAATTCCTTTCTGAGTTCTTTTTATCAGACTTTTGAGTAAAAAAAAAAAAATAAAGAGATGAAAAGAAAAATTCAGAAAAGGTTCTTAAAAATTTGAAAGTTGAAAATGAAGCAAAAATAACTCTTGGCTGTCCAAAGGGATGTTGTCCAAACGGCTGATTAGGGACGAAGAAAAATTTTACCAAGGAAAGATTCATTTTTTCGGCCTTTCAGGGTTCGGACATGCAACCAGCTGCAGATGGAAGTCTAAAAACACTCAAAGTTTCAGCTTCTCAGGTACTTAAAAAAAAAAAAAAAAAATTAAAATGTGCTCATTATACCCTTTTAAACGGAGAGTATGGTTCATGAAGGAATCATTCCTACGAGGCTGATTATTGAAAATGATAGACAAATAAGACGAAGGGAAAATAGAGCTATCTTATTGGTTAGTGCCGGTGGTTATGTCACAGACTGAAGGGAGAGATATGATGGACTAACCATACGGTCTCTCGTGGGTTGCCGTTAGTGTTAGTCTATTACTTTACCTCCTTTGTCCATTGCAACCATTTGCCTTCGCCAATAGAATCCCTCCACTATATACCTCTTCGTCTCTTTTGTCTAAAGCGTTGTCTTTTAATTTCAATAATCAACCAGCTGATTGACTTGGCCATTTTAGACTTCATTGAGCTTTTAGGAAAATAACAGACGTTGCACACAGATGCTTTGAGCGTGGGGAAAATGAGGTTTCAATTTGGTCGCGAACAGGGCCGGATTTTCCTACTTGCCACCCCCTTCTCATTGTTTTGAAACATCAATAAAAACCATCAAGTGAATGTGCCAGCGGGGGAGGGGTGCAGAAGACGCGCTCACTCGTGTTGAACACATTTTTTGGGAAAGCCCTGTCAACACTACTAGCAAAAGGTCACGGAACTTTGCGCGAAAGTCAAGTTTCGTAAACCTATCTCTAATGGACAAGGCCTTCCATTCAGAAGAAATGAACGAAAAAATTAAGAAAGAACAAACACAAAATTTGGTTTAATGATTTTAACTTCCGCCACCGCGCCGACCGCACCGTGTTCGGCGCAATGCGTGAAGTATTCACGCAGTCTTGTAGGCGCTATCCGTTTCACGCTGACCACAATAACCGCACTGTGTTTGATGCAATGCGTGAAGTATTCGGGCAGTCTTGTAGGCGCTAATATGTGTTACATGCCAATTGTTGCGACGAGGGCTTCTCCTTTTCATCTCAAGTCCTCGTCATCATTTCTCCCTAAGTCGCGCCGTTCCAGGCCAAATTGTGTGTTTGGTTTCTCTCTTAACTCGACTAATGAAAGGTGCTGTCTCTTGTATCACAACGTCTTGTAAGACGACAAAATTAGAAATTACTTTACTCTCAGGAAATGAGAGATTCTGTAGCCTTTTCTCGTTTGTAATTTTTTTTTCTAAATCCGATTTTTTTATACCCACATTTAAAAAAATTGCAAAATTTGCCGCCCCCTAGATTTGCCGCCATGGGCCGCGGCCCATGTGGCCACCCCCTTAAGCCGGCCCTGGACTCGAATTCCACAGAAACGTACCAAGTTGCGTTTAAGTATGAGTTTCGAGTGGTTTTGACCTAAACTAGTGATCGCAATTTGTTTTTCGTTTGGGATCTTATGGGCCTTATATAAACAAAACCTACCTTAGACAATGTGAATTTGGACGGACAAACCAAATGGACGTTGGCGAGATACACATTTCAAAACTCGGCACAAGAAACGAAAAATTGAAAAACTTAAGGGAAACATTTCGTAGGAGTGAAATTAGTGAACTTTTGACTCGAATCGAAATTTTTGGCTTTGTTTATCCTGCAAAATGGTGCGGATCCAGCATCATTTCCCACCTTGTTTATTGATGATTACTCCTCTGCGTATGAGAGCACTACAATTTCTTTAAGGCGATTTTGTCCTGATATTCCGAATATTATCGGAATATAAATTTTGGCACCAGCCTGTCGCCGAAATCCGCGGGAATCGTAGGCCAATCAGAGGCGACCTCTTTCCCGACGCTGAAAGTAGAAAGTATGACGCAACCAGCATGGCAAATTACCGCTCTTGTTTTTTCTGTGGACGCAAGGCTCATTTTGAAATTAGATTACGCCCTTTTGTCAACGAGGCGACAATTTTTGCGTCTTATCTCTACAAATTATGAAATGGAAAATGTTTGTTTAAATGTTTTTTTAGGTGCTGAAGAACGTGTGTTTTTTGAAAAATCAGTTTTCCAGAAAATTGTTGGGCGATAGTAAAAACCACGGACATTTTCGGCCTCAGCGATGAAAAACAAGTACATAATACACCATTCGACTCCTGAAAAAAGTGATTTCCGCGTCCTTTCAGATGAAAAACAAACGAATCTGTTTTGTATAAGAGGAATTAAGGCGTTTGACAGGAAAAATTTTGTTATTTGACACAGCAGGAAATTTTTTTTTTTTGACATGCTGCCTAAGCATTCCTCTTTAATTTACAGGCTGCTGAATCCGAAAGTTACACTGATTGCCTTTGTCATGCATTTCTTGCAAGTTGTTACAATATCTAATTCTCCTCGGAAAAGCCTGCTCCATGGAAAAATCTCTATTTTCCAGAAAAATGGCGGGCACAGGGACAAATGATGCATTTTTGAACTCAGCGCTGAAAAGCACCTCAGAGTCTTCGGCTGTCAAAGCCCGAGCGTTTTTTAGGTGCAGATATTTGTTATGATTGGTTGTTACCAATATGATGGCGACGCAATGTGGAGCTAAGTTAGAGCGAAGTTAAGAGAGGAAAGAACTAAATTGAATGCAAAACTCAGCGAAAATTCGTTCGTTCCGTGCTCTTTTTTGCCTAACTCTCAGGTTGAAGGCACTTTTCCCCAACCATTTCTCAGCCTGCGAATCAAGTTCATACCTCCAACCAAACTTGTCGCACCATTCGTAGCTAGTTGACGTCTTCCTGCACTGTAATTTCACTCCTACGAAATTTTTCATTTGGGGGGGGGGGGCGTAAGATCCCAAATAAAAAAAAAATTACGATTATTAGTTGAACTCGAAAACCACTTTAAGAAAGCTCCATTCCGCGGGAAAAAACTGTTGATATCCGAGCTCAACTTTTGCCTCGCCCGATTCATTGCTTAGATTCGGAGTACGGGATCTCTAAATGCAACCATTGGTTTATTTTGATAAGTTTTTCTTCCCTCCCGGCTACTTTTTTCACACTTCGAACAATGTTTGCCGTGATTTCGTGCTTCCCTAAGATCTGGGTCAAACAAATCCCCTAAGCTACACCCTTTCATCAACAAAACGGAGAAACTTGGGGAGCGATCGAGGATGAAGCGCGAATGACGCATAAAGCGAAAAAAATCTGCTCGAGCAATTACCGGAAAGTTGAGCGGGAATTTCCGCGCAAAAGTTTCGACGCCTCCCCACCCCCGCCCTTTTGCACCTAACCACCCCTAAAGGCTTTTCGAGTCGGTTTTCGCCATCCCTGTCGCTCACACCGGGGAGCGCCCCGCACAGCGTCCGGGGCCGGGGCTGAAACATCGTTAGGGGAAACTAGTTCAGGATGATAAATAAGGGTAGACAATGACGTCACGGAGGATGGTTGTTGTCGGGCGTCGCCATGGCAACGGTTATTCGTGACGTCGCGGTGACGTCAAGACGCTGAGCTCGGCGGCGGGATCTGTGTTGGGCCGCGGCTCGGCTCCTGTCAGTTGTGAATCGAGCCATCGCCTCAGCCGTTCGTTGTGTCACGCAGTTGTTTTCCCGGTCCAATTCTCGCGCCGATTTTTTCCCCTCCTGTTTTTTCTCACTTTTCTCGTTTTTTTAAAACCGCCCACCTTGTTTTTTCCCTTGATTTTCAGTTTTTCTATTTTTATACTTTTTTACTTGTTCGCTCCGGGTACTAACTCGCCGACGTTGGTTCCCTTGTGATTCCTACCCGTTTGTTTTCGTTTCGTTGACATTCTCGTGATTTGTTTCTCCTCGCACGAGAAAGTGCGGAAATCCTCCACCCTTTGCATCTGCACAGAGAGAGGTGAGTACTTATTTCCGCACCATTTTGGGTTTCCTTGACTTTTTATGGTGAAACGATGGAAATGCGTATAGGCGGAGTCAGGAGGGATGCCTACTCCTCAGTTATCAACTTGGTACCCTCACTGGGAAAAAACACATTGGATCTGGAGTCCAGACTCTTGAAAACGTTGACAAGAAAAAGGACTCTTGATTCAATCAGATTTAAGCTTAAATCAAAAGGAAATCCGCTCAAATTAAGAGGCTTGGTTCTTGATTTAAGCTTGAATCTGATTGAATCAAGAGTATTTTTTCTTGTCGATGTTTTTAAGAGTCTGGACTCTAGATACAATGTGTTTTTTTCCAGTGCTCTAAAAAATGTGAGGATTAAGGAGAGATGTGATTTTGCATAATAAATGCGTGACATCTCTGTTATACTTGAAATGTTATGTCAACCAATTTCTCAAGACTAATGGCCTCAAACTGGCCCTGTTGCATCTCCGTTTCCTAATTTTTTCGGGGAAGGCCCCTCAAACTCTTTAGGGTGCCCGGGGAGTACCGGAGTACCCCCAGAGCCCTTTAGTGGGGTACCTCTCTGTGCCCCCTGGAGCATCTTGTTGGGGGTGCCGTCTTGTTTCCCAGCCCCACATGCAGAAAAAATGATCGTTTCTTTTTTAATGCTCATCGTCGATTCCAAGTCCTACCTACTTTCCTGGTCGTGATTACTATGTTACTTTTACGGTATAAAGATGTTTCCGGTCCCGATAACAATGCTGAATAGTTAACAGGACCAAAATATTTGTTATGAAAAATGTTACATGGTAACTTCAGCAAGGAAACTAGGTGCAACCTGGAATCCAATATGAGCATTTTAAAGCAAAGATTCCTTTTTTTTCTCAGTCGGCGTCTTTCTACACCCTCGAATCATTATTAATTGGGGGTCTCTATACATGCCGTCACGCACATAAGTTGCACCCATAATTTCAAATGAAGCGTTCCAAAATTTTCGCTATTCTTTTAAATTCTTCTATATCGTGCGGTTTGTGCGAGATTTCTACGGAATATTATTGAGAGGACTAAGATAAATCGGACCAAGTTTTTGGCAAGACGATGATCATTCACACTTCAAAAATATTAAATGTGACAGGGAAACTGCAACATCTAAAACTGGAATACGTTATATTCTAGTGTGACCATCGAAGGACCCATTGAGAATTTGCACGAAAAAATACTATTGATTCATTTAGAAATGCTTGATGAGTTGAGTTCACAGATTTTTTTACAATATTATTCCAAATTTAGGAAACTTGAAAACAATGTATTATGGCGTGAGAAAATGTGCCGCCTTGTGACACCAGGGTGGCATTGCACATTTAATCACATGCGTTTTATAACTATTTTTATAATTAATGTTAGATTTTAAAATTGAAAATGTTCTTCTGCTCGCAATTGGTTTTCTTATTTTCAGTAATTTCTGTTCATAAATTACATTTTTTAGGTTTTTTTTCGTATAGATACGCATGACGTCAAATTTACTTTTTCGTTATAGCGGAGTAAAAGACGGATAGTTTTCATGAATTTGATGATGTTTTTGATGATGGTCTCTGGTGTTGCCAAAAAAGGAGACGGGGAGGTCCATCGATGAACAGAAAATTTTCTCCATAAAAGGTCATTTTTTGGGGATGAAAAAACTCTATCCACGCTAGTGATGATTGCAGTGCGTTTGAACCTGAAAAAAGTCGTGAAAAAATTATGGAGCATACCATGTAGTGTCCCAACGCAAGTTCGTGGAATGGAACGGAAACACATTCTGGCTATACGTGTACACGCAAAAGAATTGTTCCGTGTTTTGCCTATCAAGGAGAAAAGTTTGAAGGTCTCTAGTTATCATCAACGATGACAACTTAATCCGGGGGAGGTGGATATTAATTGAAGTGTGTAACAAATGATACTGTGTTCATGAAGCATACCTTGGGAGAATTAGTGATGATTTAAACGATTCTGTGTTTGACATTGCTGTGATCGGTTCCCACTGTGAGAGCCATAAAATTACGAGAGTTTCAAAAGGTCTGTTTATGGATTCACAGGAAGTAAATCAACCTTGCGTACTCTAGAAATGCTACGAATTGCTTCACCTAGCGAAAAAAAGTACGAGCCAAAGTCAAGGAAAATTTTTCAGATACGGCTATGAGTCTCTCTCTCTCTCTATGACAAAATTTAACATTAAAAATAGGCGAGGAAAAAGTGGGCCAGGGCCTAGCTTCCAGGATTCTACTTGGCTTTTCATCGATTTTGTAAGGAATTTTACGAATAACTACGGTACATTTCTGTCATCCTTGAAGTTTTATTTCAACACATTTTTCTGCCCGCTAGAAGCTGCTCCGAAGACTTTCACTTTCCAAAAACTTATCAAGGAAGGTCCCATTGATCCCTTTTTTTACGGGGCAAATTCCCCCGTCCTGTGACCTGAATTGAAAGGGATACCTTTTTAAGCCTCCCAGAGATCCTTGACAAGGGGTGAACTTCCTGAGAGTGGAATGAATTCTGGTCTCAAACTGAGAAACAAACTTCGATTGCAGGGATTAAACTTCAGCTCATATTGTACACCAAAGTTTTTCGGTTCAGGTAATCAAAATTCTCAGTTATATGAACCGAGGTTTTTTCTTCGTCTATGGAGTGGATTAGATAAATCTACGCCAAACTTGTAGCCAAGAGGAGAGGGTGGGTCTGTGGCAGAGGTGGATCCAGCAATTTGGCAACACCGGATTTCCTCCATTTAAACGTATGTTAAATAATCGACTCTTGTCGGAGCTCTTGACCCCTCCAAAAATCGATACATTTCCACAGGTTATAGATCGTTTTCGATAGTGGTTCGATGTATCGCTTGGTTCAAAACAAAAGAACATAACTTCAAACAAAACTTTCAGGATTTCAGTCGGAAAAGCTGAAAATGAGAAAATTCCGAACGCTAACACCTCGCGATGCCATTTAGTTCTCATGAGAGTAAAAAATCTATCAGAAAAAGCTCGTTCCCTCAGATTACTCGATTGACTTTTGAGGCTATGTTCACATGTTGAACCAATCGATATCGATACAATCTCACCTATTTGATTTATCGAAAACGATCTATAATGGAGGAAATCCGGTGTTGCCAAATTTCTGGATCCGCCAATGGTCTGTGGGTGGAAATTTCCCATTGGAGGTTCAAAGATAAATAAAATCCAAAAAATCTTAACTTGGAGGGGGGGGGGTTGTACAACTAAGAGGGAGATGTGGGGGTTGGATAGCTCCTGGATCCTCCTTGGTCACGCCCCCGCCTAGCATTGACACAGTTCGAGGAGAGCGCGCGCGGACTGAAAACCGTGAGGAATGAAGAGTAAGCATGAACGATGGCGCTGGGCAGGAATCATGGGTGCGAATAAATTCATGGAAATTCAAGTTAATTCGGTTACGATCTGTGAACACAGGCCGTCACCGCCCGACATTCCTGCCATAGACGTCAGATCACAGCGACTCTGGGAAACTCTGAATTTTCTAGACCCCGTCCAATCAGAGTCGCTTCACAGATATATTTAAGGTGGATCCTCAGCTTTATTGTGCACTCTGCAGGGAGATTCAGAAGTCCCGCACCATCCCTATAGCCCCTAGGGCTCTTGGCCCTTTTTAGGGTGATCCTCTCAACATTTTTACGGAAAAAATAGGTAAGGGCTGTTGGATGGTACGGGCATTTCCCATTAATCGTGATAGTACCCCCAATTCATTGTGGTAGTGATCCAATAAATCAGGTTACAAACCCAAATGTTGCGGTACTATACCCCAACTTGAGGTGCGGTACCATTAAAATTAATTGGAAATGTCCATAGCATCAAACAAATTAAGATAGTATATACCACCATGTCAGGGGATGACCCCTAATACTTTCCCCGTGTGTGTGTGGTGGGGGGGGGGGCGTGTCCAAAAAGCTGTTTACTTTCACTCGTAACACGTATGACTCCAACGGATAACTACCCTTCGATAACACGTTAAACATGCTCATCATGATTTTCACTGATCACTTACCGATGGCAAAAATTGCGGAAATAATCGCTCAAACTGGCAGAGGAGGACTTCTCCAGCAGACAGGACACGATGTGATAATTGAAGGTTAACGAAGAGACGGTGAAAGCCGCAGCTGACGATTGTCAACCGCTGTAAACGCGAATTTATATCCTCCAGCCATGGATGCAAAACGCATCGTTGGCTCATCTAAAAGTCTGGTAAAAATGGCCATCGAGGGGGAAGAGAGTCCTGGACTACGTCACTGATGGAACATTAAAGCTGTCATGTGCGGGTGAAAATCCTAATCCAATTGATCGACTCTACTCTGTTGGTTATAGAATCCAGCATTGATTAATGGAGTATGATTAGTAATATGATGGTAAAACTGCAAAAAAGGCGTATCGTGTTTGCGGCGTTTCAAAAGCTTGGCTCTTATTTTATTTTTTTAAAGGAGGACACTCGGTTCTTACGACCGAACTTTTTTCTCAGTGATCACTATTAAAATTCGAAGAGTGAAATGCGGTGCCGAAGTCTGCATAGCATCCAAAAACCTCCAATGAAATGAGTACGACGTGAAATTAGCACCATTAAAGCGTATGATGCTTCCCAAATAGAGTAGATTCCACCTCGTAATAGTGTAAGTCACTCCGTAAGGAAAAAAGGTTCCGCTCCACATTCATATCATTGGGGGTTTTGGGCGGTTTACAATCTCCGGCATAGAATTCCATACTCCAAAATGTTTAACTTTATATTAAGGTAATAGATTCAATAATTTGGTTACATATTGCCGCAACATTGCCTAGATATTTTCATCCTCACGAGAAGCGCATAAAAATGCCTCGGACATTAACACCCTCCGGCCAAAGTATCGCAAGCGTCACGTTACGTTTAAAAATTTCCGCCATTTTTTTTTGTTTTTTACAGAGAAAATTTTCAACAAAGCTGTCCGAAAATTTCACTGAATTTCCTTCGTGCTACCGATAAAATTCAGCGAACTTTTCAAACAGACCCAACGAACAATTTCTCTGTAAATAATAAAATTGCAGCGGAAATTTTGAAACGTCGCATGGCGCTAATATTTTGGTCGGAAGGTGGCGATATCGCCATTTCAGCTGAATTAAGCATTCCGAGTGCAGGAAAATCCGTGATTTTTAGCTTGATTTGGCAACAGCACGGTTGTAGGGGGTCAGTAATTAATCGGAAGCTCAAGTGTGTAGGTAGTTATCAGCTAACGCACAGCTTTCAGGCGTCGCCGCCTCCTCTTTTTGCGTCACGAGTTGTTACGGACGATATGACTCTGTAATTCGGCAGAATCTCTCCTACGTTAGCAGGTTTATAGCGTTGACGGTCGTTAGGATCGGAATAACTGGAAATTAGAGTCCCTTTTATCCTTTATATTAAGAGTTCGGTCATGTAGAATCCATTTCAAATCAAGATTTTTTGGGAAAGCCCTGTCAACACTACTAGCAAAAGGTCACGGAACTTTGCGCGAAAGGCAAGTCTCGTAAACCTATCTCTAATGGACAAGGTCTTCAATTCATAAGATATGAACGAAAAAATTATGAAAGCACAAACACAAAATTTGGTCTAATGATTTTAATTTCCGCCGCCGCGCCTATCGCACCGTGTTTGGCGCAATGCGTGAAGTATTCACGCAGTCTTGTAGGCGCTATGCGTTTCACGCTGACCGCACTGTGTTTGGCGCAATGCGTGAAGTATTCATGCATTCTTGTAGGCGCTATCCGTTTCACGCTGTTCACAATAACCGCAGTGTGTTTGATGCAATGCGTGAAGTATTCGTGCAGTCTTGTAGGCGCTAATATGTGTTACATGCTGATTGCCGCGCCAAGAGCTTGTCCTTTTACCATACTCAAATCACCGAGATTATGGTCAAATCTACCATATTTTTTTCTCAGTGTAGGGGCGTTGGAAATGTATCGTTCCTGGCAACACTGCTATTTTTCACCTGATAAGTTCCAAAATTTCGGTCGCACTGACGTAAACGCACATTGTGTGGTTAAGGGAGTAAGTAGACTGCTGCGTCATGCTGCCGTTGCAAAGATCGTCCGTTGATTTCGTTCCGCGAGTTGATTAATTAATGTGCCGGGTGTAACTGGAGATGCTTCATCCAAGCTCGACGGCTCTTCGAGAGCTCTCTGTCTCATTAAAAAAACAAGACCCTGGAAAAAAAGCTCCGGGAAATTGAACTCGTTCGGGACACATCCCAACGGTCGCGCTCGTCTGATACTTCCTACTTTTTCCGGGAATAACTTCGCGCGCTTCCTTTAATACATCCGCTCTTTTAAAATGCAATCCTGCTTTCGATTGTCTATTCTTTCACCGGTCATCCAATATTTACCGATCTGTTTTGTGATGAACTATTCGTGCGAAAAAGTTTTGGAGATACATGACCGGTGCAATCATATTTAATCTTTTTTCGTTCCTGGCGCCATGCAGTCCCTGGTAAAAATTGAATTGCATTTTGCAAAAAGGAACCACTAGCATTGCAATGATGCTAAGATTGTGCAACTTCATCTTTTGCAATTAAATTGCGGAAACCGTGAAAAACTATGAAATTTAGATGGTAATTTTTGTCTTAAATTTAGAGTTTTTAGCGAGTAAAATAGAGACTATTAATGGATAATCGGGGTTTTTCTCCAAGACAAAAGATGTTGCACAATCTTAGCAACATTGCAATGCTAGTGGTTCCTTTTTGCAAAATGCAATCCAATTGGCAGAAGAATCTGTGTTCCAAAATACCATAGACCTACAGCCGGCTGTAAGATTTCCAATAGCTTCTATATCCGGCTACACAATTTCTTAAAGCCTTTTATTGCCGATGGCGATTAAGCAACAGCCAGGCGATAAAGTGTATGCTAAACGTTACTAATTACGGATGCTAGGACTTAGTGAGTTTTTGGTTTACTGCTGGTTTTTGGGCCGTAGTATCTTGATTTATTTTGCGAGGAAAGCTCCGTACTTTTGACGGATGCCTGCCATTACTAATATATTAGAGCGCCTTCAGTTTCGTATGATACTGTGCAATACCTATGGTGTGAATTAGTTGCTTCAAGCGCCGTGGCAGGCGGGCAGCCAGCGCGAAACACGCATTGGCGCCTACAAACCTAACAGGGATACTTCACGCGTTGCGCAATGCGTGAAGTATCCCTGTTAGGTTTGTAGGCGCCAGTGCGTTGCCGCTCCGCTTTGTGTTAGGCTCTAATATTTAATCTTGGGGAGCCAGTGTTATTCAACTCATGATTTTGAAATGTTTGCACATCCTGTATGGATTATTCCCATTTTAATTGATAAAAAAAATATGTATTGAAGGAAAATATAATGTGTGTTTTGTAAATATTAAGGTGGTTCCGTATCGAACTTAATAATTTCCAAAGCACACAAATTTCTACACAATTTCTTATAGCCTTTTATAATCGATGGCGAAAAATCAACAGCCAGGCGATAAAGTGTAAAGCCCGGCGATAGGAACTATAGCCCGGCTGCATAATTTTTTATCGCTTCGTATAGCCCGGCCGTATAATTTTCTCCGCATTCTACAGCCAGCTGTATGATTTTCTGTAGCCTTCTTTAGCCGGCTATAAGAATTCTTATGGTATTTTGAAACGTAGCTCTTATCGCAAATTTTTACCAGGGGTATGCATGAGTAAATCAATGGCTAAGCCACGTATCTCTATTGCTGTGTTTAAAAGTCGCTGCTCTTAATACATATCTCGGAGAAACACAAGCCAACTTTACAGCTCGAAAAACAGAGAAGAAAATTTAAGGAAGTTTCCAAGAAATGAAGTTTTCCAATGAAAAAATGAAGAATGGAAGACAGTCTGCAGCGTCACAAATGGAGATACGTGGTTCGGTTGTCAATTTTTTTTTACCGGTCATCAAATATTTACCCATCTGTTTGATGATCGCCATGGAACCAGTCGTGCAAAAATGTTTTGAGGTACATGGCCGGTGGTGCATTCGGTGCAATTATATTTGGACCGCGTTAAACAGAAAGGAACCAAGCCACATCAGCTATTGCCAAATTTAATTGGGAAATTTAATTTTTACATGAAAACGGTTCTGCGGATTTTCGTGCAAATTGCAGTGAAAGTTCTCCATAGTTTGAAGCAAATTCTTCAAACATTTCATAGGAAACCGCACAAACGTTCTCTCGTAAAAAATTGTATTGCCCAGTTAAATTTGGCATAATAGCTGATGTGGCTTGGTTTTTTCCTGTTAAACTTGGTCCATTTAATCACTTTTCGTAGTCAGCACCAGCATATGAATGAGTAGATCGATGGCTAAAGCAGTACAACCATGTAAGAGGAACAGTTTTTTTTTTCTCCGCGGGTAAATTTATACAGGCTAAATTAAAACGGATTGACAAGCACAGCTTCATGAAATTTCATTTTTTCCATCGTGATGGAGAGTCCCAAAAATAATCGATGTGAAGTTCCCGGCAATCGCCCGAGGCCCAGTTAAATCGCGGTCGTGGTTGAAGCCTGTTTATCATGTCACTGCGGTTATTTGCGCCTGTAGTGTTCAGGCCGTAGGACCGTTACACTACACAAAAGATAACATTTTCGACCCGGAAATATCGATCGCGACTCGAGTTCGATACTTCCTACGCTCGGGACGCGTCGAATCGATAGATCGCATCGGAGCTCTCGATGAGGGGGAACCGCACTGTTGGTGATTTTCCCGAGTACTATCATAACTTTCCCGTTAGGTCGCGGGAAGAGTGCATGTGGTTATGCAACGTTGGGCGCGAGGTTTCCAGATTGAACGATACAATTTGGATATTTAACATGGGTTTCAATGAGGAAATGTGCTGATTTTCGGCACTATCTGGCAGCAGTGGTTGGGCGGGAGTCGGCCCAAAATGAGTGATCAGTTTCCGGCCGCGGGAAACCTACACCGGTTATCACTCTTTCACGTTGGCCCGCTTCCCGGAAGCATTTGCCGCTGATATACGGTCATTCCCAGGATGACCGTGACATTTATACGAGATGGATTTGCGTGGGTTTTTCAGGTGAGTGTTGATACTGAGCAGTGGGCTGAGTATTGAAATTGATAGACAAAGCTATAGACAAAGAATACAGAAAGGATATGGAGGGATCCTATGGGTGAAAATATTTTTCCTGCCCCCAATTTTTTTTTTTAATCTGGAAATTTTGGAAATCATGCACGAATAATCAATATACAACGTTTGAAGGAAATCCAAGAGAGGGACAGAATACGGACCCTTTTGGCTAAAAGCTCCTTCTAACAACGAGCCAGTCATTGAAATTGATAGACAAGGTTGTGGACAAGGGAGACAAGAGAGAATGGGAGAATCCTATCGCTGAAACCGGCTGCTTGCAATGGATAAAGTAGGGAGAAAATAGACTAAGTAACGGCAACTCACGAGAGACCCCTTAGTTAGTCGATCATTTTCTCCCTTAGTCTATATGAACCACCCAAATTAAGCAATAGGATCGCTCCATACATATTATGTCCTCTTTGTCTATCGCTTTGTCTACCAATTTCAATAATCAGCCCGCAGGAACTCTTATCAAATGCTGAATCCCTACACTGAACGGCAACGTTTCGAGGGTATGCTAGTGGTGTTGGCCCACGCGTCGGGTTATGTCTGAAAATTCCCGAAACTGCCGTCCGGGAAAGCTCGTGAGCTGCGTCGGCAACTTTCAGAGCTTTGTGCTTTTTATCCCGCCCGTTTCCCGAGACTCGGAGCACGGATCGCGAAGCACTTGTCCCTCACTCGATTACAGTAATTGATAGGTTTTTGCGTGGTTCTCCCGTTCGTCGCGTCGCATCATGCCGCGTCTCTACACTCCCACGTTGCCACATTTCGTGCATTGATTTTTTTTTGTCACTGCACGAGGGATGTTTTC